TTTGGCGTGGGTCAAAATCTAGTAGCTACTTCTTCTTGAAGAAAACGTACTTGGACCCATATGAACATCTAGCATTTCGTTAGGGTTCTTTCATTTAACATCAGTAACATCTAGTTGCTTATGAGTATTTTGTATGCTGGCCTTGCACTGTATTTACACTCGGCCTGATAAAAACTTTAGGTCAAGGGGAAAAGAAAACGTTCGGATCTTTCAGAGCTTAAACGAAACAAAAGACGCCGACGTCCTAGAGATGCTCAAGATTCCCAGTGAGTATAGTATAAATACACCATACTTTTTAAGCCTTGTCATTCTCTCTGCCCATTATTCTTAACTTATGTTCCGAAACATGTTGAGCAAGGTTGAGAGGTGGACCAAAAAAATGGCGTAAAATCAGGGCGACATTAAATGAAACAAAAAGAATTAGAGATCGAGCTGCTATTAAAGCTCATAAGGAAGATATCTGCAGTGAATCTGAGGTAACCATCAATGTGCACACAATTTCACCTTTCATGTTACCTGATAAAACTTGTACCACATGACTTTTTGTGTTTTTACCTACCCAAATTTGGTTACTTATTGTGGGTTACAATATGCCTGGCGGCTTTTTGTTTGTTTGTATACCATTTTCGCCGCCTCTGTCTTCTTTATTTTTTTAAATGCATAAAATGCATTTGCCTGTATATTGACTGGGGTTATCCTTTGCTTTCTACTCAGGGAGAAGCTATCAAGGATGAAGAGTATCACGGTCTCTTTGTAGATGTAATTGCCTGTTCCCTCTTACCGTTATGTAGTTGATTGCATATGTTGCTTTCACATACATTTTTTTCTTGCTTGAGACCGTATAACTTCCTTGATTGCATCTTGCTATATGTTGGTATGACTCCTGAAGATCTCTGTTTTGTAGTTGTGCAAGGCTTTGGCATTGCTGCAAAGATATTGGGAAGCTCTGGAGATAGTTAATCTGGCTCGCAGATTGGATGCCAAAATGCTGCCTGTTGAAAAGAAGAAGGAGCTTCAGTCACTTGGAGCTAGTAAATACTCTTCAACCCAACCTCGATCTCTATTTTCCTTAAGACTAATAGATAAGTCATCGTCTTTTAGATTTTTCCTGTTGGTTTTGTATCTCTTGTTTACCCCTCTTTCTTCTTTTGATGTTTACAGAAATATCGTGTGATACTATGGATCCAAAGCAGTGGTTTGACTGTGTAAGATCTGTCATTCAGCAGCATCCATACCGTTTGAATGCCTGGAACTGCTATTACAAAGTCATTTCAAGGTATACACACGGCGGCTTTTAACATGCATAGTTTGGAATCCTGGTTTTTGCTTGCGGTATAGAATATCATATCACTATGTGCAGATTAGGGAAAAGAGCATCGGCTGAAGCTAANTTCATGCATCACTTAAGAAGCAAGTACAGAGATTGTGTACCGCCCATTCTTATTGCNGGTCATCACTTCACTGTCACAAGCCGACATCAAGATGCTGCTAGAGAATACCTTGAAGCATATAAACTAATGCCCGATAGTCCTTTGATTAACCTCTGTGTAGGTACGTATGTATCTTATATTTGTTCTCTTTCGCTTTCCCTAGTTTCTGAAATCAATTAAACTAAAGTTTCACCTGTTTCTTTTTTTTCCAGGAGCTGCGTTAATCAACTTAGCCCTTGGTTTCCGACTCAAAAACCGACACGAGTGTCTTGCTCAAGGCTTTGCATTTCTGTACAACAATCTCAGAATCTGCAGCAACAGTCAGGAGGCGTTGTATAACCTTGCTCGAGCGTATCAGCACGTAGGACTCGTGACTCTTGCGGCTTCATACTACGAGAAGGTTTTAGCGATTTACGAGAAAGAATATCCAATGCCGAAACTCCCTAACGAAGATCCGAATGTCGCAGAGGAGCGTAAGCCTGTGAATTGTGACTTACGCAAAGAAGCTGCACACAATCTACATTTGATATATAAGCAAAGTGGAGCGTTTGATCTGGCGAGGCAAGTCTTAAAGGATCACTGCACTTTCTGAGTCTCGTTATCGTTGTTAATTTCTACAACCAAATATTACAATAATATATATATCGTTGTCTTATTAATTAACTGAATTCGAGTTTAAAATTCTAATTGCGAAGATCTTCGTTGGCACAAAAAGGAATCACCGTTGGCATTCTAATTAGATCCAAATCCAGTACAGTTTTAAGTTCAGTTTTGGATCCGTCGGTTACTAATAAGTATTGTCAGGTTCTATTTGAATGTTATGGTCAGGCTCTTTTTGTTCTCTTAAGATTATGTTTCATTCGATTCAGTTTAAACCGGGTAATGTATGTCTGAAAATAGAAAATGGTAGTAGAATCAAAACTGGGCGATTAAGATGACCAAAATAGAAAGTACTTTAGTCGTCGGTTTCCAAGTGAAGAAAAGGCATCTCTTGAACACTCGGACTGACTCCTTAAGCGAAAGTAAAGGTGTTCTTCTCCGAACTGATCATTCTCTCAGCCCATTCAGACCCAACAATCCTTTCCAGCTGCAAAATAACAAACACTTCCATTAGATCTCAACTCATCAGATTGGTGCTCTACTGTGAGAGAGCTATCTCTCTTCTTAAGGGGAACAAAACAACTAATCATGTTTCAGAATTATAATGTTAGAAACCAAAAGCAAACCAAAACTATAGAGTTTTTATTTTAGGAATGACTTGACAGAATCAGACTTCCAGTATCTTCTAAGCCCAATCTCTCTATATATCTAGAGTCGAGTTAAGCTTAATCTAATTGTATATATATGAGGAAACCATTAGGAGACTGAAAATGAGAATTGTGTAAATTACCTGGGGCTTATCCCAGCCACAAAAAAGCACAGTGGACATCATGTCATCCGATCCTTCAAGCATGTTCATCATCTGCAGTTAAAGCTAGAATGATGAGTTCCGACTATCTTTCTCCTGATAAGAGCTGTGTCGCAATTAAGATGCTCTTACCTGAGGGTAAAACTCCTTCCGCTCCGGAAGATAATACATAATTAAGTTCTTTATGCCACGGATCTGAAACCAGAGAAGCCAACATTGATTAGAAATAGTTTACGTATCATCGAACCTAATCAAAGATCAAAGAAACAAGAAAAACCTGATATCTCTTGTAGAAGTATGTTCTCGCATTGTAAATCATGATCTTCTTCTTCCCTAAAAAGAACTCATTTCGTGCCCGGGATATATTTTTATCTGTAGTATTTCTGAAAACGAGAGTCAATATTAACTACCATCCAATGAAAGAAATTCAGATAACTATGAAGCAGCAACGTCAAGCAGGAAAAAATAATCGTCTCACTCGTGAAGAAAACAGAAAGAGGCTTTCTGCGACTTCAAAAAGTTTCTAACCCTGACGAGATCGAAGTAAGAATGGACAAATATCATTACTCCTCCCTGCAAACACGATTACAATAAGACAATCAATCCCCCAAAATACGTGATAACAATAAGGTCTTTATTCTGATCAACTCTGATGTTGATCCTGTATTTTTTTATGCCAACTAAGAGTGTAGACATCAAAATAGTTCAGCCTTCGAATGATTTGAGTACCTGAACAGAATCTTTAATCTTTGGGAAGACCTATAATGAAAAACAGAACAGAGTTAGCAAATATTGTGTTTAGTGAACCCTCCAATCAATGGTATACAAACAAAGTTATCCTTCAAATAATGTTAGATACTGCATAAGTAAAGCCATGAAACATATCAAAGTAGGACCTTTTTGGTAAAACACTCAAGACGTGCATCATCAACTTGGCTCATGGAGTCGGCATCAAATCTTTCGTAAATCTGAAACAAAGACAAAAAGAGATAAGAGATCTAGAACTTTCATTGTTTAAGCAAGATAAGATTATACCTGCTGGACAGGGAGCAACACTTTCTCACGAACACCTTTGTATACACACGCCAGCTTCATCTGCATAGACAAGTAATTAAAATCTACCATTTTGGTTTGGAATAGACATAATAGTTCCATTCAAATCACAATAGTAATCTCTAGCCTAGCCATCCGATCAATCATCTAATCCCCTCATAACACTAGCAACAACAACAAAAAAGATACCCAAAATGCATAGAATATATGGGGATAATATGCTTCAAATGAATGCGCACCTTTCCTTTATAGTTCAAGCATTGGCGATTGAATAAAGAATTGATGTCTGAAACAATATATTATTTGGGTTAGAACGAGTTTGGAACTCTATCATAACCAAGGGTTATATATAGCAAAACGAAGAACAAATGGAATTTAACTGTAGATAAAAAACAAAAGCAGTGGGCAGATCAACACCTGTGGTTAAATAAGAACTTAGAATTATTGACTGCCGATAGAACCGTGCATGTCCATCCAGATACCTAAATATAAGAAGATTTATTTTGAGATTCTGACATAGATGCGCTGCTGGACACATAAAACATTAGAGAGAAGAACTTGAAGTCAGGAGAACACATACCACGGCCGAATTCGCATGACATTAGTACCATGTTGTTTTGATGGCAATTTATTTAAGTGGTCAACGACTGTAACAAGGAACGACCAGTTCTGAAAAATTATAAAAAACATGTAAGAAATGGAGTCATGATACTCCATCTTTGAAAACTCTATAAATTCACCCCACAACCTACCTGCATAGATAGTATGTCTGCATGATCAATAACCAAAACCTATTCACATGTAAATGAAAGAAATATTAGTAATTTCAATAAGGAGATGCAGAATAAAACTTCAAATATTTGCAACTAGCAATAGACCAGGTTTGAGATATAAAACAGTAGTGGAGTAGTGTAGCTGAACATTATAGGCATCAGCCATCTGCTATCTATTAATGTATCTTCTGCAAGCAATGATAAACAAAATTACCTCAATGGAGGAAAGATAATCAACATCCTTTTCCTTGTCTTCTTCTGCTTTACCGATTTCCTAGCAGGAGCGAAATTGATAAGAGATTGAATCAAGAAGATTTACATACCCGAATCATCTTGCGAAAAGATAGATAAGGCTACTTACCAAGTGTAACCTGAGAGGGGAAGCAATAATCATGTCCGAGGAATAGAAGTCACCAAACAGCCGAATGCTCTTCCTGGAATCAAAAAGAGAATTAAACTACCAAATTAGTTACAACCAGAAAGCCTGTACTGAAACTTTAAAGATGATGTACGCTAAAGATATACCTTGTATGCTTAATGCCTAACATAAAATCATCATCGCTGTTCTTCTCACCAAAAAGAGCTTGCCAATCAGAAGGTTTTGAAGACTTATTTTCGGATGCATTCTTTTCCCCATCACCTTCAACAGTACCTTCTTCACATCCAAACTTTTCATGAAACCGGTCAAGTTGTTCTACATTAACCTGAAACCCAATAACTGATATTGAAGAGGGCATAGGCAACTCAATAAATTTTCAGCAACATAAACAATATAAACGCAGAAAACCTATATGGCGGAAGAAAAAAATACACACACATGAACAATTCTTTCTACATCAATTACTAATAATCAAACTAGAAAATTTACTCATCCACGAAATGTCAATTATCATAGAATAAGGCAACACAGACACAACGCAGATGCAAACTA